AGAGCCAAGGGGTGCGTATTTCAGTAGAACAGTCTGGGATGTTGAAAGATGATATTCTGAGACAGAGAAGGGCATATCAGCCATTGATTTAGGTCACAGACGCAGTTCACTACTGCATGAATAACATTAAGTTGAATGTTATATCTGAACATAGTAAGAACCTATCCAAATCTCATATGTGATAAAGGTTGGCATTAACGTTTCAGATTTGCCAAAGGACTACACCAGCCCATTAGTCTTAGCAGAAAAATATTCTGCTTTTGCTAGAATATAGTTGCTCATATGGTGCATTTAATGTATAGAGAGGGTTTGGTTGTGGGTTTTTCTTTTCATTTTTAACTTTGTACTTTGAAAAAACCAATTGTAAATTTATGAGTGATACCACCATTGAAATAAACTATATATGGATATGATGGTAAATAGCTATTCTTTTTCACACCAATGAAGTAAAAGAACATGTTTATGCCTTTTATCCAGAGAGGAGATTTAAGAATAGTCTATGTCTACTTTTGTAGTGTTGCTGTCATTGTTTTCATTTGCAACAAAATAAAAATGAGGCTAACGTCGTGAGTATTCTTCTTACTTGTCTTGTCTGTCTACTTGCTTGCAGACATGGTCATATACAAAGGTTTTCAAAAAGAAAATGTTACCACTGTTTCGTGAGCAATCTTTTTATACCCAAGGGTCCAGCAGTGGTCCTTATACCATGAGTAGAAAAACATTGGCTTGGATCACTTCCTCTGTTCTGAATTTGGCCAGCTCTTAGCTGTGCTGCAAAACATTATGTGTTCCGGTCCAAAGATAAAGAGCCACTCAAAGTCAGCAAGGCAAATACAAAAATGTCATGAAAGATATTAAAGAAAATCTATAGCCTTGGGAAAGCACATGCTGAAGAAATAATCTAGTATTATTATTCAGTAACTCATTTTATAAATTCCCCTCAGAAATAGAAGTGTGAGAGAGAACTTCTCAAACTAGGGAGACTGGACAGAGCAAGGGTAGTTACGGAACAGAGAGAGAAACACGAACTCTTGTTGCTGCTACTTCAGTTGCAGCTGGATCCAGAAGCCAGGGATAAGATACAGTAGGGAA